AGGATCTAGAAGGACATCACAATGGATTTCATTGAAGGGCTGCCGTTGTCGAACGGATTTGATGGTGTGATGGTCGTGGGGGACCGATTAACAAAGTACGCACACTTCGTACCACTAACGCACCCATACACGGCGAAGTCCATTGCAAGGTTGTTCATCAAGTACATCATGAAGCTACATGGGGTTCCGCGGTCGATTGTTTCCGATCGCGACTGGATTTTTATGAGCAGCTTTTGCTCTGAGTTTTTCAAATTGCAAGGGACCGAGCTATCGATGAGCTCGGCTTACCACCCGCAGACGGACAGCCAGACCGAGGTGACTAACCGGACGTTGGAGCAGTACCTGCGGTGCTATGTGCACCAGTTTCCAAAGTACTGGGAAGGATACCTACCTTGGGTCGAGTACTGGTATAATACCACTTACCATAGCTCGATCAAGGCGACGCCGTTCGAGTTAGCGTACGAAAGAAAGCCGCCGACGCTAGTAAGCTATGCAGCCGGGAGTGCGATAAATGATCAGGTCGATCGAGAATTGGTGGAGCACGACCTAATGTTGCGTGAGCTGAAGAAAAACCTTGAAGACTCGATCAACAGGATGAAGGCATATCATAACGACAAAAGACGCGAGGAGAGCTTCGTGCAAGATGACAACGTCTATTTGAAGTTGCGGCCATTCAAGCAGCGCACGACGGTGCAAAGGACCGTGACCAAGCTCGGCGTTCGCTACTATGGGCCGTACCGAGTTTTGAAGCGCATAGGCAAGGTGGCCTATCGACTTCCCATGATACATGTTTCACAACTTAAGCGGAGTTTAGGTGAGTCTCATTGGGTGTATGAACATCTGCCGGCAACAACGCAAGATGGGCACATCGTCGTGCGGCCGGGCCGTGTGATCGAATACCGACGAAATAAGAAGGCTGACCGATACCGATGGGAGGTGTCGATCGAGTGGGATGATTTGCCAATGGAGGAAGCGACCTGGGTAAACTTGGAAGAAATGCGTGCACAATTTCTAACTTTCATCCTTGAGGACAAGGAAGCACTTGAAGGGACGGAAATGATGAGGATGTGGCGCGACGACTTAAGAACTCCGCGAGCCGGGATTACCACGCGAGGAAGAGGTTAGTACGGAAAAGGGGCGAAACACTCGTACTCGAGACGAGCGCGCTCGAGAATATTATAGGTGGTCGAGCGATGGTCGAGCATCTTGTAGGTGGTCGAGCGATGGTCGAGCATATTTGGTCGACCGATGGTCGAAGCTCACTGGTCGACACCTGGTCGAGCACATACGGGCAAGTGCGACTACGCTCGCGGAATCCTCATGAAAATAGGCGACGCGCGTGACGAGGACACGCGCGCGCGCAAAGGCGGCGACGACTAGATCTTCTTGGATTCTTTTAGATATTTAGTTTCCTTATTACACACGATTTCTAAATTGTTTAGGACTTTAATTATTTATTGCTTTATTAAGAGATTTAGATTGAATAGAATTAGGTTTATTTGGGGCCTATATAAAGGTGCATGCTCTTGTAAAATTATTAATCATTGAACTTAATACAAAAACCGAACTTTTGTTCATCTCTTTGCCTTAGAATTCTTTACGTTTTATTTTGCAATTATCATTCGAAGGGGCGCGCGAGTGAACCTCCAAACCTATCGTTGTAAACAAGGCGCTAGCGTGGCTCAATCGGCAATCGGACGCACGATCTCTCATCATGTCCGACCCCCAAAGGCGATCGGGGCTGGGTTCATCCGGTTACCGCGGACGACCTTGGGTGCGATCGGTCCCCACGGACGATCGCGCCTGCGTCCGGTCGCGTTTAGTGACTGAACGCAACATCAGAAAAAAAAAATTGAAAAAAATGATTTTGGCCGAAAAAAAAAAACACTTTTCCAGCAATCGATCCTTTCCCCATTCCCCCGCGACGTCAAGGCATTTTTTAAGATTTTTTCTGGAGGTCAAACGAGCAATTAAACGAGAGAGAGAGAGAGAGAGAGAGTTGGAAAACTTAAAATGAAAAAGACAAAACGGTAATTAGGGAGGGCACTACGTAGTAATAAGGGGACGGTGAATAGCGATTCACATTTTGTATCAACGATTTTTTATGTTGTAAAAAATTGTCAAAAGGCAGATTGATTTATTTGGTAAACTTAGAAAAATTAGGACACAACTATAGCTCATAAATATAGAATTGATTCATTATGGGAACTAGGATTTTGACCTTTATAGTAGTGTCTATCATAAGCTTAAAATAATTATAAGAACTGGTCAGTCGGTATAGATTGATTGTTTTTTTCCCTGATATAATTGTATGAATATGAATATTATTTTTAGTTGCATGTCTTGTACTCATAAATATCACTTTCTTATCTTTCCATTATTTTAGTTGTAATGATGCATATTATTTTCTTCTGTTTTAGATACTAAAAGACAATTTATCTGAATTCAAAGTGCAAGTGAGAACAAACGTTTGATATTAAAAGACAATTTATCTGGATTAGAGTGCAAGTGAGAACAAACGTTTGTTCTCACTTGCATGAGATTCGATAAATTAGTTTAACAATTGAATTATCTATCTGGCCAATTAGTTGAGAAGACTATCTAAGTTTCCGTGAGATGGTTAACCAACCCTATTCATGAATAGGCTGATAGATAGATAAGCTGTTGTAAAAAGTAAAAACACTCTGCCTTTTTTACATCCAATTGATTCTAATTAAATTAACTATGTACCATCAACTTTCAAGTTCTAATTCACCCTGACTATTGTACATTGGCATTGCCTTTTGCATTTGGTTTTGCTTCTGAACCAAAATTTTAAAATATATATCCTTGTGAAAAAATTTTATTTATTTATTTTGTGAAATCGTGACTGATGGTTTGAATGCTTAAGTCAACAATTTCTAACAAGTATTTTGTTATTTTAAAAAATTATGTTCTCTCAATATTAAAGACCAAATATTCATTATTAATAAATGTTTTAATATTAAGGATTTCATAAAAGGTTTAATAAAATTATGCACAGCGAAAGCTTCCTCTATATATATATATTTATTTATTTATTTATCAGCCATTATCAAGTATTTCATTGTTTTTACATCACATTAGCTATTAATATTTTATTCTATACTTTTTTTTTTTTTGGTACAAATTTTATTCTATACTTCAACAATCTCAACCCTATTTTCCAAACAAAATTTATCGAAAAATGCGAATAAATCCACAAGGAAAACATACGTAACGATTTTTCTTAATGTGCTCGGTCAAACTTGTGCAAACAAACATTTTTCATCCAAAGCACAAAATCTATATAACAAATAGTAATTGGAACTGAATAACGTAATAGAGAAGCACAAATAAAAATCTTTGTTGAAATAAAAATTCAAACACAATTCATTTAGATGTAGATAACTAGAAACAAACTTAACGTCTCATACATATAATAGCATAAGAAGAAGTGAAGATGGCGGCAATACAATAATCTCTTGAAGACTTCCCTCTACATAGCCGTGGGCACAGGCAAGGCCCTCGATTTCGTTCGAAACCTGGTCAACATAATATCCTCTGACGATTTAGGATTGAAGGACGAGCTCGGCTACACTGTCCTCCACGTAGCGGCTCTGACCGGAAACACGGATGTTGCCAGGATCCTTGTGCGCAAGAAGTCCAATTTGGTGCATGTGCGCGATAATATGGGTAGTTTCCCAGTCCACGTGGCAGCACTGTCGGCCCATCGAGAGACCCTTGTGTACTTGATATCTATGTGTGAATACGTGTTGATGAACCCATACCATGGGGAAGAGGGTCTCAAGCTTCTGTGTTATGTGATTGATGCTGATATTCTTGGTGGGTGTGTTTATGGTTTGGTACTGTCATTTTTTTTTTTTTTTTCGGCTAATGATGACGTATCTTTGCTCTTTATTCAGATGTGGCGTTGTCTTTGGTTCATGATTATTTACATTTAGCTTCTTTGAAGCTGACAGATGGCACGTCGGCCTTAAGCACTATCCTGCTCAAGGCCGACTGCCATCTGTCAGCTTCAAAGAAGCCAAATGTGGATAATCATGAACTAAAGACAACGCCACATCTGAATAAAGAGCAAAGATACATCATCATTAGCCGAAAAAAAAAATCACAGTACCAACCCATAAACACACCCACCAAGAATATCAGCATCAATCATATAACACAGAAGCTTGAGGCCCTCTTCCCCATGGTACGGGTTCATCAACACGTATTCACACATAGATATCAAGTACACAAGAGTCTCGCGATGAGCCGACAATGCCGCCACGTGGACTGGGAAACTACCTATATTATCGCGCACATGCACCAAATCGGGCTTCTTGCGCACAAGGATCCTGGCAGCATCCGTGTTTCCGGTCAGAGCCGCTACGTGGAGGGCAGTGTAGCCGAGCTCGTCCTTCACTCCTAAATCGTCAGAGGGTATTATGTAGACCAGGTTTCGGACAAAATCGAGGGCCTTGCCCGTGCCCACGGCTATGTGGAGGGAAGTCTCCAATGTGAAGCCTATCCGGGCCGTGGTGGCCTGTGGGTGCAGGTTGATGATTTGTTCGGCCCGCTCCCAGTCGGTCATAAGCGTGGCTCTGTAAAGCGACAATTGCCACTCGTCCTCGATGCCTTTCGATAAATTAGAAATTCACAAATGGGAAGCAAGTGTGGTTTATCTCGTTAGTGATTACTCGAGTTAGATTGGAAAAAAAAAAAAAAAAATCTATTTCAGTTTCATTTGCTAAAAATACATAAAGGCTATGTTTGGTAAAACTAGCTGATAAGCTAGCTGATAGCTGATAAGCTAGCTTATAGCTTATGGCTATGTTTGGTAAAACTAGCTGATAAGCTAGCTGATAGCTGATAAGCTAGCTTATAGTTTATATGTAATTTTCGAGCTTATAGCTTATAGTTTATGACTTATAGCTGAAAAACTAGCTTATATGATAAAAGATGTTTGGTAAATTAGCTGATAAGCTAGCTGAAATAAAAAATTCAACTAGCTTATTTGAAAAGCTACCTAAAGTAGCTTATGAAATAAGCTCGAGCTTTTTAAAAAAGCTCGTCCTACCAAACGAGGCTTATTTTAAACAGGGAGCTTCTAAGCTAACCAAATAAGCTATAAGCTAGCTTCTTTGGCTTACCAAACATACCCTATATGTAATTTTTGAGCTTATAGCTTATAGCTTATGACTTATAGATGAAAAGCTAGCTTATATGATAAAAGTGCTTGGTAAATTAGCTGATAAGCTAGCTGAAATATAAAAATTCAACTAGCTTATTTGAAAAATTACCTAAAGTAGCTTATGGGATAAGCTCGAGCTTTTTAAAAAAGCTCGTCTTACCAAACGAGGCTTATTTTAATATAGGGAGCTTATAAGCTAACCAAATAAGCTATAAGCTAGCTTATTTAGCTTACCAAACATACCCAAAGTGTCCCTAAGAAATATCTCAGGAAAATAAACTAATTGCAGAAAATGAAAATCGATTCTTGATTGAGCCAAAGTTGGATATTTTCTAGTTAAGTAAAGGGTACCTTGTAGCTGTGGGGCCGGTGGTTGGGGCAGGCCCGCCGATGTTCTCCTCGAGTTCGGCCCACACACCTCTGGCGGTGGCCAAATGGGCCACCGCCTGCAGCACCGAGTCGGCCAGTGACCCAAGAATCCACCCTTTGACCACTCGGTTCGTCCTCCACGCCACATTATTGTCATCAGATGACCTCCGGACGTCCTCCTCCTCAGGGGCGGAGCCGGAATTTCAAACTTACCCGGGCTAGAAGTATGAAAAATTATATATAAGTTACGATATATAAAATTATTTTTGCATAGTAGATCTTTCAGATTGTGTAATGGTAAAGGAACTGTATTTTTTCACACATATACATATATTCATACTCAAATGACAAACTTTAAATTATAATATAAAAAAATAAATATAACATTGTGTGTGTGTATAGTATATGTACGATCGTTTTAGATAGTATGACTTCAAGAAGCTTTTCATTAAAGATATATTCACTCGTCAAAATAAATAAGGAAACTAATTAATTAAAATTAGTAAAGTTTTGATAAACAAAGCTATTAAAATCGCATTTCTTTTATTATCAAGTAAAAAAATAGCCCAATTTGTTGTCATAAAAAATTCAGACAGTAAAATTAAAAACAAAAAAAAAAAGCAAAAATCGAAATCAATATTAATTTCATTGTGATTATTACTTGATGGTTTAAATTTATAGATATACTTTAAATATATAACTATTAGAAGATGTGCTAAAATATAAGAAAGGCTATTAGCTTCATACAAACAATATGTGAGTTTTTCTAATACATCATAAATATGTAGTTGCAAATTGCAGGACAAAATACCTGTCGTCCTCGTCAGCGGCAAGGAAGGGGACCGCCGGAGGAGGATTCAGCAACGGAATCGTGCCACCGATGAAGCGGGTCAGGTCATGGGCCTCAAGGAGGCAGAGAAACTGCTGTCTCCAGGATGGGTAGTTGCTCGAGCGTCTGTCGCCGGAAAGTTCGGAGGACACGAAGTTGGAGACGTTGACGGTGGTGAGGTAGCTCGGGAAAGATTGGTCGGCGGCGGTGGGTGGAGAGGAAGCCTTGTTGCCGGATACGAGTGTTACAACCGATTTGTAATTTTTTTGGATGGAGGAGAAGTTGGGGAAGAGAAAGAGAGAGAAAGAATGGTCGGCACTGCAAATTTGCTTTGTCAGGTCATGAGCTAGCTACGACACATATATGGGCACTGCAGATGTAATTATTCATTGAAACTTCGCAATTTTCTTAATTATATCTTAGCCAGTATAGTTGAGCAGAATACTGCCCCTTACAGGACTATTATTTATGGACTTTGTTTAGGGTTGTAGATTATTTAAGGCTGAATATTGCAAGTTAAATAGAAACTTTTAAAATATATTTTATTTAAAAAATATATCAAATATAAACAAAAACATATTTTCATATATATATATATATATATATATTTAAAAATATATTATATATTAAGGTGCATCGAGCATCGACAGTGGAAAAATAGACGCCAAGCTCGGCCACAATTAATGGCTAATTTAAAAATATTATAATTCTACTCGCCGGCCCTGATGGAACGACAGGAGAGTATACATGGAGGACGACAACAAGGACGCCGAACGCAGCAACGTCGGACGTCACTGGCCGGAGGGTTGACGGAGCGGACAAGTGGTAGGGTAGAAGAAAACACAATTTGGGATTAGGGCATTTTTAGAATTAGATCATTTTCAAGGACATGATTGTAATTTAATGTATTTTGATTATATTTCAATTAAATTGATGTGCCAAATCTGTAATTTATAGAAAGTTTAATAAATGAATATTAATTGTAATAAAATACACAATATATTGTGCAAAATAAATATAAATTCGATGTGATGACACAATAGTTTTATACGAAATGCACAAAAAATCACGGATATACTGCAGAATAGTGATCGAAACTGATCGATCTAAATTTTCGATTCGAATATTTATATGTCGGTTATATTATCTATTTTTAGTTTTAAAATTTCAATTGTCTCGGTTAAACGTCAGCTTTATTTTTAATATTAATAAAACCGACTGAATTAAATAAAAAGTTAAAATTACTTATACTTTTTATATATTTCATGAACTAATAATATAAACATTAAATAAAATTTATAAAATCCTAAATATATTTCATAATATAAATAATAATTCAGTTTGATTGTTTAGTTTAATTCGATTAATCGAACAAATAACCCGATTATTTTAGTTATGTTTTAGTCTGGTTTGGTAAATTATTGAATGTGGCATAATTTGGGACAAGTTATTAAACATAACAACAATACGAGTGCACAATAGTGTTAGACGAACTTCACACTAATGACTGTCGTCTGACTACACAATAGTGCTATACCAGATGCACACAAATATTTTCGAGAACACACATTAGCATAACAATATATAATGTTGATAAATGTTAAGTATATTTTTATTATATATATAATTTGATCTTCTCTTGTTCCTTTGTACGATTTTCCTTCTGTCGAGGCCCTGATCTATTTATAGTGAAAGATGAGGGTGCAAAATGATTAAAATGTTAAGTTGCAGTATGGCAACCCACACATCCGTCCACGAAATCAGAAATAACGTTATGGCAACTCCTAGGTCGATAAAAGTTATGCCTTGAAGTCGGTCCAGTAATACAAAAGCTAAACCTTTACTGTTTCATAAATTAGATTTTTATATCTCTTGGATAAGTATTATATCATGTATCATTTAACAGAAGGATGTCTTTTAAGTTCCAACTGATAATGACAGAAGCATACAAGAAAAGCAAGGTTAATGCCAAATATGAAAATTCACCAACCTTAAGCCGTTCATGAGCTTCAGCAATAGTTCTCTGATCCCTCCTCCTCTTACGCCAACTATGACCATCCTTACGAAAAAATTTTTGCTCGCGTTTGTTGAACAGAAAAAGGGATCCACCTGTAGAAGGATGATTTAGTAAGATAGAGTCATGCCTTTTCACTGTCCAACATAATAAAGGGAAAAAAATATTTTATGAATATTACTGGCAGGTTTTTGAGGAATTTTATGTGTGAGCTGGTGCTCCTCAAAATTCTGTAGTATGAGATACACTTCAACTGGCTTTAGCAACCGAGTTTGAGCTTCTCGAACCAGGTAATTGATGTCGTCATATCCTGAAATTCATAAAGATACACATATGGTTAACTTAATCAAGCCAGCTGCTTTCCAGAGGATATAAAATCAAGGAATATTTAAGTTTCTTGCTAATCATAGTAGGATGAAAACTAGCAAGCAATACACATTAAACTAACTACTTGGTACTCAAAACTTTAAAGTTAATTTCATAATTTTTAACAACAGTAGTTAATGCTAGTTTGATTTAAATGAACAATGTGATGATTTTAGAACAATCTTCATTAAGATCTTTATCTTCGTTTTGCGTTGGTTCAAGTCGAAGGCTTTAAAAAAAGAAAACAGCCAATAAATTTCTAAAAACCATAAAAGACGCTCAAACCAGCCAACCAGACATGATCTGTATTTCCTAAATCCAGCTACAAAGATGAAGAAACCTTGTACCTATGAACCAGAAACAGAACCCCAAACCCCATTCTTGTGCAACACATACATAAAGCACCGGCCTTTACATACTCAGCAAAAGTAGAGTCTTTGAGAACCCATTCAAACTCAACACATATAACACCATTTTTCAACAACCATAGTTTTGGGCACCTCAACAAGCTAAATTTCAGTAGACTTGGGCAAAAACACAACTTTTGGACAGTCTTTTACAGGCAACTCCATAAATGACAGGAAATACCAAGGAAACGAGATCTTCTTACACATAGGTTAGAT